GACACGGGTTACGACAGTTTAAGGAAGCCCGGCAAAATGGCCAAGCTTGGGCAAATGGGCAAATGGGTGCGTAGACTGCCTGGCGCTTAATGCCGCTTGTGTATATGGCTTGGCTATTAAATTTCCAGTTCAATGATTAACGAAATTTATGTTTCGGCTTAAGCTCGCATGTGTGTGTGTGCCTGTGCGTGTGCGTGTGCGTGTGCCTGTGTGTGTGTGTGCGTGAGTGCGTGCCGCTGCCAAGGTGGAATTGCGAGTGCGGCAATCGCTAACGATGCCGCACGCAGCCTGAAGCGCATAAGCCAGCGCCAAGCCGAGCCGGCCCAAGCAACTGAGACCAGTTGCCTCCGGTTCGCAACGACTGCTTCTTCTTCTACTTCTTTCACTCGGAGCAGCAGCAGCAGCAACACGGCGAGCTGTGGCTGCCTGTCGCGCATGACGTGTCGAGGCTCATTAAATATGTATGTCTTGTGCTGAGCAGCTGCCGGCTGCTTGGGCCTGGGCCTAGGCCTGGGCCTGGACGGCGTGTGGCATTCAATTAAGGCGCATTTTGTTGCTCTCTAATCTGTTTGAAATATTGACCAAGCGCAAAATGGTGTCAGGCAGGCGCCGAAAAGTAGGCAACGCCGGCTAAAGGCTAAAGCCACGCCGGCATGCTCAGGCATGCAAAATAATGAAGTTGAAGCGCAATTAATTTGAAGTTGAGGCAACCAACAAACCGAGCACGAGCCCGAGCCCGAGCCCGAACCCATGCACAAACCCAAGTCAAGTCAACAGCAACTTAAACGTAAACGTTAACGTCAACGTCAACGTCAACGTCGACCTGCTGCCAGGCACAAGCCGCTCAATCTCGGCCTGCAACTGCTCCGTAGGCCACACAGCTACCCTCCCCTCCCCTTTCCCTGCCTCAGCTGTTGGCGGCTTCCAACTGGCCAGCACGGCTGGCCCGTTCAGAGGACCATGATGTGATGCCTTTGGCCAGTCAACTGACTTACTTTACTTTGCTCAAATGGCAAAAAGAATTTTCTTGGCAGTCTTTCGTATACCCTGCAGTCATTGCAAAGGGGGTATAATGATTTTGTGCGCATGTATGTAACAGGCAGCAGGAGGCAACAGTCGAGGCGATTGAACCGTGCCCGTCTGCCAATCTTTTTTTCTCTTTATGCGACCCCACCCTTTCCTCCCAAAAAGCCAAAAATCTCATTTTTAAGTCCAGCGCCTTGTACTTTGGTATGTACACAAATTTTGGTCTCATAAGAAAGAACGGTAAATATCGTAAAGATCGGAGTATAAAGTATAAAGCTAAGTGAAGAACACACAGCGTGTGTATGTATGTATGCGTATATATTTGTGCTTGTGTGTGTGCATGTGTATATTTGTTTATAAGGCTAGTTCGAATACTTGTGCGGGCACAGGGTATCGTCTAGTCGGACACTAGTCCCCACTAAAGCTCTTTTACTGGTATTCCTCTTCTTATTCTGCCTATTGTTGTTTTTGTTGCTGCTGCATTGTGTGCAAAAAAGCTAAGCAAAACGGAGCCGGGGACTTTATATTGAGCTGAAACCAGCTCGGGCTCACTTGGTCTATATGTAGCTACATATAAAAACACACACATTTATATACATATATGTGTATATATAGATATAGATATAAATGTGTGTGTGTGTGTGTGTGGCCATATAAAAAGCCGTTTTTCTATGTCAGCTGCATTTTTGTGCTACGCCTCAGTTACATTTTTGTGTGTGCTGTGTGAGTGTGTGTATGTTGTGTGTGTGTGTGTGTGTGTGTGAGGGGGGGTCGCCATTTGGTTGGGGCTTGTCCCTGCTCCTGCTGCTTGCCCCCCCCCCCCCCCCTCCCCACCCCCCTTCTCCGCACATACAGCCTGCTGCCGGCAATGTCGCCGCTTGCAGCAGCCGCAACGCGATGGGAAAAGCTTTTTTCAATTGTTTCCGTTTCGAGGTCATGACAAATGCATTCATTTCTCTTTATTCTGGTTTTTGTGTGTGTATGGACGTGTTCTGTGTGTGTGGATTTTGGAGCAAACAAGCAACTGGCGGCAATGAACTGTTGCCCCCGTGCCGCCCATTCACAAGCCCCAACACCAACACCAACACCAATACCAACAACAACAACACCACCAGTTCCGTCTTGCCCCCTCGACCGCCCCTGCTCCCTTCCCCCAGCATACCCACACACTGTAAGCTGTATGTCATTTTTGCGTTTAATGTCGAGAGCACAACAAAAATTGCTTACCTTCGGTAGGGTGAGACGATAACAGCGCCAAAAAAAAAAAAATAAAATAAAACAAACAGCAGGAAAAACAACAACAACAACAATATGTAATAAAAACAATAAGCAGGCCGAAAAAAAGCAAAAACACAGCAAGCAAAAGTGAGAACGCACAACCATCCGATACTCTGTAAGCCCTACAAAAACTACTAAAAGCTTAACCCTTAATTAAGACCGTAAGAAGTCAAACATTTTCGAATGAAGTACTTTAATGCTCAAAATAAGTGAAGCTGATGAACAGCACAAGGAAACAAGTCTTTCGGGCATTTTCCAACACTCCAAATAGCTCAAACTTAAGACTTAGGTTCAAATTTATTCTTCAAATGTTATTTGACATTTATGATATTTAAACACTTCAAATATAAGTAGTACTGTCACAGTATCTACAAAGGTTTCCAAGTTCATTGGGAATTTACCAACACTTAAATTACATTTAAACGTACTGTACGGGAAGCACGCCTAGTCGGTGTTTACCTGTCTGCTCTTTAACTACAGAGTGTACAACAATAGCTGAGGGCACTCGTCAGCAGGTCGACAGCGAAATGCTCTATAAATCTTTTTTTTTTATAATTAATTTAGCCACAAACAAAATTTGCTGCGAAGTGCAAAACAAAAGAAAAAGGAAATTGATAAACTGATGGGTCACTCTGCCAACTGATGGGTCACACTGACAAAGCAATTAGCTACGGCCTGTCAATGGACAAAAGCTGCACACTTTGGTGCATAAGTGTTGAACAGTTTGTTCAGAAAGTTGACAAACTACGTTAATGTTTAAGCAATTCGAGTGGTTTTCAGTGAATGTGCGCCCAACTGCATTACCCAGCTGTCATGGCCGGTTCTCCAGGCTCCTGATGGGGCCCTCTGTAACAAAATCAGGCGAGCTGCTGCCGGCGACGGAGACGGCGACGGCAACGGTGACGGTGACTATTTCAAAGTGCTTTGACTTTGGCTGCTGCTGGTTGTTGCTGCTGCTGCTGCTTTCTGGCTGTTGGCAGTCGTAAAAAATGTAGTTTATATTCAAAATAAATGAGGTTGACTTTATTTACGCGCTTATGCTTTTTATGCGCCTTGCAACAAATACTCGTAACGGCGACAACAAAAATCATCAACGTGGCTGTCGCTGCCGTCGCCGCTGCTGCTGCTTCTGCTTCTGTTGTTGACTGCAACCGGGCGGACGGTAGAAATCAGCAAATGCCTGCGGCACGGGCAGAGGGGGCGGGGGTAAGCGCTTTAGTATTGAGCAGGATTTGGGAGGTGCTGTTGGGCGAGTGTGTTTTTCTCCTTTTTTTGATAAACGTAGCGTAAGTAAGTGATTTACCATTGTTGTTGTTGTTATTGTCGCTGCTGCCGCTGCTGTTGCTGCTGTTGCTGCTGTGCACGCAAATCAGAACGCTGATAATTATTTTTGTGTGCTTTCAATGCAGAGATACGGTACCTGCAATAGTTCCACAGTCACCACAGCGACCGCAGTCATCCCCAAAAGAATAGTCAAATAACATTTGTATAGCCAAAATGCTGCTGTTGTTGTTGCTGCTGCTGTTGTTGTTGTTTTTGCTGGGAAAACAGACGCAACCAAAACTTTCGCTGTTTGGTTTTTGAATATTTTTCGAAAATTAATAGCGGGATAAAATGTGTAACGGTTTGTCATTGTCCGGATTGTGGCAGGCGTGGCAATTGTTACTGTTGTTGTTGGGTGATGATTGGGTGGCGGTGTGGGGGGGGTCCGCTTTATTGTTGTTGCTGGAACTCTGTCAGTGGCCGGACGCATTTGTTTGTGATTAAACCGAGCATCAGGAGCCTGTTTAGTTTCTGCGGTGCGGGCGTGCCAGGCGGTTTTTGTCACCAAAACGTATCAATGTCGCGTTGTTGCCCAATGAATTGTTGTAGCTTTAGCAGTAACAGTTATTCTGCTGATGCTGCTGCTGCAGCTGCCGTTGCCGCCGTCGCCGCTGTTGGCTGCGGTTCGAGGCGACTGAAAGGATTGCTCTGCGCTTGTTCCTGCGTAATACAATTAGCAATGGTTGCTATGGGCAGCGAGTGGAGTAGGAGGAGCAGGCGGTGCCAGGGCCATGGCATGAGCTGGGCATGCTGGGTTGTGGCTTTAGCTTTATTGAATTGTGACTGGGCGCCTGCCTGTGATGGTGATGGATGGTTAAGTGGATAAGTGGACAAGCGGGCAGCCAGGGCGTGTAGATTGTCCGGGAAGAATCCAATCAATCATTCGGCAGGGTTGGGCCAACAAGCATATACACTCCGCGTCTGTCTGTCTGTGTGGTCTGCAAAATGCTAATCACGGTTAAAATTGGATTAGTGACGGAGAATCAGCATTTTATGAAGCGTTCTTATCTTATCAATTGATAAGCGGCGCGCACAACCAATTGACATACATCAGTCAGCCGCAGTGAGATTAATCATTTTAATCAAGTCACGCTTCAATCATTGCATCAATCAACGGCATGCCAATGGCTGGAAGTACACAACAGATAAATTAAACGAGCATACGTCAAGAACGAGTAACTGTTTATTTAATGAATGTGATAAGATATTAAATGGCCACTTTAAAGCCAAAGTCAAATGTTTAAAACTCCTTTGCGCAAAACAAAGATCAATAACATAGATGAATACAATGTGTGAATTCAGGTATTCTTTTTGAATGCTTAAGCACCTGGCATAAACATTTAAATATAAATTAAAATTATAAATTAAAAAGTTGTAAAACGATTCGACTGTTCAATTTAAGATACTTGCACTGAACAAGTATTAAATGAATTATGAATATATATATATATATATATATATATAAATCTGTTTGGAATACTGTCAATTAGTTGCCTGAATTCTTCAATTTATCGAAATCATCAGTTTCCTGGGGCGAGGGGCGCACAATTGTAGTGTTGGCATTTCCATAACCGAACCGATTCTTCTTCATCTGCAAAAGACAAAAAAAAAAAGACATAATTACAAACGAATATTGAAGGTAGCATATTTAATGTATCGAAACACACCAACTTGGACTTTGGCGGTTCCCAATCTGGCCCGTTATCGTTATCATCAGTGTCAGTGTTAAAATCAGAAGTGTAATGATTGACTAAAGGACGCTTAGGTGCCATACGGCGTCTCTTGGTCACAGAAGTATTTGCAGTCATTGCAGATATTTCAGCTGCTATTTTTGCAATACTCTCTCCAGAAGTGTCAGCATCATAAGCCGGAGCTGCTGGTCGCAATGGTGCTGCAGTTTTGTGTACGCTTACCGATATGGTTGCTTCATTTGTCTTCTTCTGTCCAACGTGATGGTTGCTCATGGCACCGACAGTGCCCACTGGCTGCCCGAAGACGTTGCTAATTTGATTTATTTTGTATGTGAGCTCTGCTATGGTGGCCTGCACGAAAAAGAGCTTTAAATGTGACTGCGCTTTGTAGTTGGCAATTTAGTGGCACAACTCACATTCTTCTGACGCTCCAGCTCGGCAAATTGCTGTTGGTCATCAATATGGGCTGCACATTTCTGATTTAGCTCCTCCTCGAGTGAATTCATCTTCGTCTGTAAATAGTTGAGAATTTATTCCTTTTATTTTTTATTCTATGCTGATTCTCACTTACCTCATACAGTTGCTTGAGAGCCTCCAGCTGTTGGGTCAGCCCGGCATTTTCAGCCGACAATGCCTTGGTTATTTTCAAGTGCTCTTCCTGTAGCTCTTCCATGTTCTTCTTTAGCTTGAGTTCGTGACTTTCAACCTTGCCAAGCTCAGATTTAGCTAAGGCAGCTGCTTCCTCCTTTGAAGCCTCTAGCTGTTCTTTGGCTTCCTCAAGCAACTCGATTTCGTCTTGATAACGCTGTTCATCAGACTTTAACTTCTGAATCTGGCTGTTGAGATCTTCTATCTTCAGCTTTTGCTGCTCTATTTCTGCGTTCAGGCGTGTCTCTACCTCGGATACCTCAAGCGTTAATTGTTGATTGAGTTGTTGTAGCTTCAAGCCACGTTTCTCAACATCCTTCAGCGTAGTCAATGTCGCCTGCAGCTCAGCCTCGCGCTTCACGCTATTCTCAATCTGCTTAGAAAGTTCAGCTGCCTGCTGTTGCAGCTCGACAGTTAGCTTGGCTTGCACAGCCTAAAAAACGCATGAATTTGTTATTATTGTGTTGACTGTTGATTATTATGCACATAAGTACGCACCTCGTTCTGCTCAACAGATTTCAGCTTGTACTGCTCAAAGGCGGCCTCCACTTCACTAATCTGCAACTGCAACTGAGCATTTTTAATTTGCAATTCGGCCATCTCGTCAGCCTTCTGCTGTGCCATAGTCTCCAGTCTGGCCACCATCTGCTGTTTCTCCAGCTGCAGTGCCTTAAGCTAAGTACATAGGATTGGATATTTGATTGTTTGTTGGTCAACTGGGCGCCTGCTCACCTCCTCCAAGAGCTTATCGTTTTGCTTTAGCTCGGCCTTCTGCTTGGCCAAGGTGGCCTTAAGATGAGCAAACTCCTTGTCGTAGGCAGTCTCCAATGAGACATACTTTTCTTCGACAGCAGTGCACTTCTCCTTAAGGTTACTATTTTCCTGGCCCAGCGCGTCCGACATTTTATTCAGCTCCTCCACTTTCAGCTCAATGTTGTGCAACCTGATTAATAAAAATAAAACAGATGTGTCCAAATACCTAAACTACAAGATATTGTTGTTAAAGTTTTACTGTTTTCTTAGTAAAGCATTCTCCTGGTTCCTCTCCGCTATGGCCATGTTGGTTTTAAGCATCTTCTCGCTGATCTCATTGGACTTCTTCTTGACTGACTCAATGGATGCCTTGTGATATTTAATATAGCACTTTAGCACATTCTCTGTACTAATCGGATCAAAAACCGCCTTCTTCTGAGACCCGTTGCCGTTTGAATGTCCCTCGCCGTTAGCTTTTTTCTTGCCCTGCTGCTGCTGTTGGCCACCATTGCCATAGGGATGGGGCTTCAAGAACAGATTCGAATCGTCCTCTTTGAGGTCTTGACGTACTGCTTTGGGCATGTTCATAGAACGTGTATAATAGTTCTCAGTATTTATCTACGCTGCAGACTGATTTAAGTACAACAATTTTATTAGTTTTGTGCGAGCACAAATGGCGTAATAAGAACGCGTCGGTCTGCAAAATTCAACGGTAAACGTAGCAACGTTGCCAACACACAGCAGAGAGCAAATAATATTAGCTAGTATTTTTTGTGTGTGTAGCTTTGCATTTAATGAGTTCTCTGTTTTGCACAATAGAGGGCGAAACACAACTCAAAAGCCTAGTAAATAAAAATGTTTTTGCCTATTGCCAATTTAAGAGAAATTGCCGGTATCGATAAATACGCGTGGCAAATGAGGTCAGCAATGCAATAATCTGGCAACGCTGGCCGCCAAGAAGCGTTCTAATTATAATTAATTGTTAATTTACAACTGAAATGTCTAAATCAAAATTTCCCTTCAATATAGAGCATAAAATGCAGCAACCTCAAGCGAGTACTTGACGCAATATTATTGAAATCAATCAATTTAATGCAAAATAATGCAATTGCAAATCTATGAAGAATCAATCAAAATTGTATTTCAATTAATAACTATGCGAACTTATTAAATTGATTGCATTTTACATGCAATATGTGCATTATAAGCTTGTTTTGGTCGTTATTAATACGATTATGCACTCAATTGGGCTGTCAATCGATCAATTAATCTCAAGGCCATTCAGTGACTGACAAAGCAATTAAAATTAATCAACAATCAATCAAAATGTCACCGAACAAACCCGAGGTGCAGCTATTTATGTGTATGTGCCGACGCTAACAATCCTTGTCAGGCAATCAATTAGTTCCTGCACGGGCCCCACTCCCAGCCTCAAATCATCAACATCAACAATCAACAGCATCATTAAATGTATGTACATATATGTACATATGTACATACATATTTTCAATTTGGCGACCTCGATGTCTGGGCTGATTTGCGGCACACACTTTTTGGCCAATGCCATTGCCAATATGTGATCGTATAATCAGAGAAAACAAAAAAAAAACACACACACACACACCCAATCAGCGCCATTAGCCATATAACCTATAAGCTCATACAGCCCATAACCCGTAACCCCTAAGCTGTAACCCAGTTTCAATTGAACGCGTTTTCACATGCCACTGCACCAGCTCCCCCTCCCCCTCCCCCACATACACCCCATCATCAGCAATTGGCATGCAATGTGTGACCGAGACCGAGTCTAGGCAAAATGCTTGCCGAAACGTGGCGTTGTTTTTTTTTCTTTTTTTGGGTGGGATTGTGAATTTGTTGGGTAATTTGGTGTGGCGAAGCGACAAGTGAGGGGATGTACTCGTTCTACTTTATGGCTATTTGGCTTATTATTTTTTGTGGCCGGCCGAGCAAGGCAATAACCCAACTAAATTGAAATCAAACCCAGACGTATGCCCATACCCATTACCTACCACACAGCACACACACACACACATACCCATACGCACGTGTCACGAGTGGAACATTGAGTCTGGGCTTTACGAGGCCACTTTAATTGCTGAGGTCAGAGTACAGCAATCAAAATGCGCAGCCAAAAGCGCTATCAAATCGCGCGGAAAACGCGCGTTTCAAGCGTCACTCGCCAAAAACGCCATCAACTCAAACGCTGAGTGTGCGAGGCGCGTCTGCGTGTGTGAGTTTGATGGGGCGCCCCCTGTGGAGTAAGCTGAGTGTTAAGTGTGCCGCCATTGCGTTAACAAATGTTCGCTACTCTCGCTTTAACCCGCCCGCTCACGCTATTTATTCTCTTTGTGTGCGTGTGCGCTTTTGTGTGCGTGTGTGTATGAGCTGCACTTTGTAAAAGTGTTTTGCCCATTTACGACCCAGCGAACTCGTCGAGCGCCGGCGTTGATTTTTATGCCATGTTTGATGTTGACTGTCAAGCAAGCGCCTGCCAGCCGCCAGACGCCACCTAGCGGCAGCAGCAGTCCCTTTCTTGCCGTCCCTCACCAACTCTCGTTTGCCTTTGTCAATCAGCGCTGTCTGTGCATGTGTATATATGTATGTGTGTGTAAGTGCGTGTGGGGGCTGGGCGTGGCCATGGCATGAGCGCACTTTCCACAAGCCTTGTTTGCCGTTTGTTGTTGCCACTACTGCTTCTAACTGCAACAGTGTTGCCAGAAATGTGCACGCAGCAGCAGTGTGCAGTCAGCGCCACCTACACACACACACACACCCCTCCCCGCCCAGCAACAAGATATATGTTGACAGCTTGTGAAAATATGAGCAGCATTTTGCTGCTGCCAGCCAAATGTGTTGAAAAATTGAAAAATATTTCGCCGTCGATGCACTAAAATATGGTCCAGAGTTCGCAGTACGGACGCACAAGACAAGGCAAACGCCAAATCGCTGGCAAAATGCAAAACAACAACAACAGCAACAACAATAATAATAATAACAAAAGCAAACTAATAAAAACCAACACAGCCAAAAGGCAAGAAGCAGAACGTGTTGTGTTTTCTATGCCAAAAATGTATTTGGCGGCGCGCCAGACTATAACAAAAACGCCAACAACAACCACGCCTACATCCTAAGCCTGCGCCATAGTCCTGATCGAGTCCTGTGAATGTCTTCTGGCTGCGTCTACTCTTTTGTTATTTACATCTTTTTTTTTGTTTTTTTTTTTATTTTAAATATTCCTTTCTTTTTATACCCTTGCAGAGGATATTATAATTTTGTCGTGAAATGTGTAACGCCTAGAAAGAGACATCTCCGACCCCATAAAGTATATATATTCTTGATCAGTATCAACAGCCGAGTCGATATAGCCATGTCCGTCTGTCTGTCTAGTCTCTCAGTTTTAAAGCTATATTTATGAAACTTTGCAGAAGTCCCCTTTTCTGTTGCACGCTGTACATATGTCAAAACCAGCTGGATCGGACCACTATATCATATAGCTGCCATAGGAACGATCGGTGGAAAAGAAGGTTCTTGTATGAAAAATATTTTTGTTTAGTAAGATATCTTGATCAAACTCGGCATTTATTAGTTTTACTATGCTCCTCATATATATGCAAAATCCTATTAGGATCAGACCCCTATATCATATAGCTGCCATAGGAACGATCGGTAAAAATTTAAGTTGTTGTATGGACTTTTTTTTTGTTTTTCAAGATATCTTGACCAAACTCGGTATTTATTAGTTTTACTATGCTCCCTCCACTTATGCAAAATCCTTTTTACATCGGACTACTATATCATATAGCTGCCATAGGAACAATCGGTCGAAAATTAAGTTGTTGTATAGAATTTTTTTTTGTTTTCAAGATATCTTAACCATACTCGGCATTAACTATTTTCCCTGTGCTTCTTAGATACGGGCAAAGTACTATGAGCATTATGAAAAGGTTGGGTCTGCAAGGGTATTAAATCTTCGGTGTGCCGAAGATAGCACTTCTTTCTCGTTTTTTCTTTCTTTTTTTTTTTGGTTAGCGGGCGAGCTTTTATTTTGATTAACTGACAAGCGGCAGGCAATTGGCACAATTGCAGGCGACTCCTTGGTCCTTAGTCCTTGTTGCAGGCATTGTTGATTTAGGATAACGCCAGCCAGCTGCCAAAAGGTTAACGTTAACGAATTTATATTAAGGCCGCCGCCAACAAAATGCCTCCAAATAAAAAGACAAAATACGCGCCTAAAAGAAATCCGAGGGCTGTGGCGAAAAGGATAGCGTGGGGGGGTGGGGGGGGGGAGGGGGTAGGAGAAATTGGTGCTGTAAAGAAAAAGATGAGCACCAAAATTTGCTTGCTCGCCATTTACCGGTGCGGCAACAAAGAGATAACAGAAATCTGCACATCGACCCATAACTCTAAAGCCACATTGAAATGTATATAGCGAGTACACGCGCACACACACACACACACACACACACACACACACACACGCACGCACGCATACAAACGCGCACACACCCAACTGTACGTACTTTATGTGTAGCACAAAAGGCAACAACTTGTTAACTTCGCTTTTTATTTTAGGGCGAATCTAAGTAAGGGCTGCCCCTGGCCTGCAAAATTTGCGTTTGCTTTCATTTGGGTTTCATACCCTGTACGCAAAGTGTGAAAGAGTATATTCGCTTGCTGCAATAACATGCCGATTTGCAGCTATAGCAACGCAATTAGTGCTCAGCATATATATCGAGTGCCTTTCGCAAAAAACTTTTGAACAGAGTATTGGGCAGTCGGTTGCAGCCGACTTTAGCCGTGGGGCTATAAAATTGGCGTCGCCGCCGCGTGATTAGGTGCCGCGACGCGTTTCATTTGGCTCGTCCCACCCACACACACACACACACACACACACATAGGCATGTTAAAGAATACCCGAGTACTTACATATTGTATAAATAACGTAAATTGTTGAGGCTCTGCGCCAAATTGAGAGGCATTCTTAAAAGCCAATCTCAGGAGACGGCCATTTTGTGGATGTGAAACGATACCCGTCGGAATTGCTCATTGAATGCCGCTGCCTCCGGCTCTGCAGGCCCCTGCCCATCACCATCCCCCCCTCCCCCTCCACCCGCTCGCTTCACTACAATTTTTTTCCGCTCATTTGGCCCTAATTCTTGGAAATAGTTCCCAGCGCTGTATATTAAAAATTAGTCTGCTTTTTGTTGAAACAAATTTTACTAATTTGTGAAATGGAAGCTTCTAAGGGGCCTTCTATTCCATTAAATTCATCCCAAGTAGTTCAATTACTCTAAGACACTACCAGCTATGAATGTTCTTTGGCAACGTTTTTTATTACCCAAAACAATTATACTTGTAAACAAACAAAAACATTGCCTGGAAAAGAATGGGACGTTGCCAACTTTGAGCAGGTATCACAAGCCAAATGCAACGCTATGAGAGCTAATGCATATCTCGCTCAATAACGGGACGATGACAACATAACGATAATTCTCCTGAATATTATGTACTTCTCGGCGATCTGACAATTAATTTACAACAACTAAGGCTACCCTAGCTTTTGCCTAAAAGCCGTTTGGCAGTTTGCATAGACAGTATGCAAATGTATTTCATCACAATTATGCATAAAACATGAGCGTTCGCTAGGTAAGGTGAGGAGGGGCCGACCCCCCTAAATGACTCAAATATTAGTGGAAAAAAAGTCTGACAAATGA